GACGTATAAGGCAAAAGGTTTTATAATCATTGAGAATTTACTATTATTTCAATAATATAACACTTGAAAATTAATTTCAGTTGATGTGAAACCTAATATAGTTTCTAGGAATGAATGGAATGCAACACAAATAAATGATACTCTCACAGACTTGGTATTGCCGCTTGATAGAATCATAATTGCACATACAGTAACCAAAGAATGCTTTACAAAGGTCTGCAATTTATTTTTAAAAAATTTGAGTCATTTATTTGTAAAATAATTCCTAGGATGAATGCATTTCTATTGTCAAATACATTCAACAGCTACATTTAAGTGCAGATTTTAAATTTTCTGATATTGGATATAATTTCCTAATCGGTGGTGATGGAAATGTTTATGAAGGGAGGAGTTGGTATAAACAAGGAGCACATACAGCAGGTTACAATCGTGGAAGCATTGGGATAGCTTTTATAGGAAATTTTAATTTCAAGATACCTAATGAAGAACAGATTGCTGCTGGATTTGCTTTGATAGCCAAAGGAAAAACGATTAAAATTTTCACCAATGATTTCACAATTTTTGGAGCATCACAATTAAGAAACACTCAAAGTCCTGGAGATGCCTTTTTGAATTTAATCAAGACATGGCCACATTCATCTCAAATTTCTATTGGATAAACTTTACCTAAAAAAATTCCTGACATTATTCATTAAGGACTTATGACGTCCAGGGGTGGGGGGGGGGGTCAGACAGAAAAGAACAATAGAAATTCTTGGAAATCCATTGTTTGTTTTTGAAAAATTACCGTTAATTTCGGACGTCATAATTGAACGGCCCCTTACTAATTTTAGTAATCAATTTAAATAAATGTAAAATTTAAATTTAAAGAAATCACTTTTTTATGGTCAAACTATTGACAGAATTAGAATTTCTAGACTCATATTAATCATGAGTATAAGTATAAGTCAGAGATTTAATCATTAATATTTTACAGAGCTCGAAGTCAACTCGAGTCAACTCGAACCATAACGACTTCGTGCTCTAATATTTTAAAATGGGGATTTTAAAATTGTCAAAATATTCTCTGAAGAGAACTGGATTTGTGATCCTAATCTTCTCAGCTCTGAATACGCGTCTGTCATATATTTCTTTCCCGAAGTGATAAGAGATGCAAAGTTCCGTTCAAATAAACATTTTTAATTGAATGTGATTACAATATATTTACTGTGAACAAAAAGGGAATCACCACAAACTTTCAGATTATTTTATTTGTGTCTGCATCGGTTACGAGGTCGTTCACATATTACGTAATGCTTTTATGTTGAGTATGAGATTTTGCAAAATCTAAATAAAGAAAAATTGTGACAAAGGTAGAGGATATCTTAATATCTGGTATTTTGTGTTACGTAATAATTGAACGACCCCAAAGCTCTATTGTCTTAAAATTCAATTAAGGCAAAATAATCGAAAATCAATGCCTGTCAAATCAAATATCTTACAAACATCTAATCTTTTACGTTAACGAAATAAAAGAAGTGGCAAAAAGTGTGAAACAGGCAAAGAAAATAATTTCCGATTTTATTGATCAGAAAAATAACTTTTACATGCCCAACAAATCCCAATCATCAATCAATCGCCAATAAAAATAGCCAAAGTGAATTAAGACAAGAAAATTTTTTCTGACCATTTCCCAACGCACAGAGATAAAGAAAAATGTTTTCAAACAATACCCTAAATTGTTTGAACAATCCACTATGAGAGATATGAAGGAAGCACACAAAAAAAAAGTGAAATGAAAGGAAAACTTTATTTTCCTTTTTTTTCGAAGCCTTCAGGGAGCAATGCTGAGATTTTGACAAGACAATATAGAAATATGTCCATACAATGTGCGTATATACAAATAAAATACAATCGTATTCACATTTCGCTGTTGGATCATTTTACTGCCTTTTTCCCATCCCCTTTATTTACGCTTAACGCTTTAGGGCCATTATTGCATGTGATGTAATTATTGTTGTTGATGTTGTTATTGCAAGTTTGATTCAACCTAAATAATCATACTTTTCTCCTACTTTTTGTACTTGCGGACGTCCCTGATGGCTCTCTTCATACACGCAACATTTTTTTCTTTCTATAAAAAGTTTTCTTTTATGATTTTAAGTAAGTTTTCCTTTTTGTGTACGTAAAGTAGATAGTTTGAAAATTATTAATGACGGATGATTAGAAAGCATTTGAGGAATCATACTCATTTCCAAACTCTATTAGATATTTGTTCTTTTATGCCGATTGATTATGTTTTTCATTAATTAAAAGGTATCAGTTTTTTCGAAGTGTAAAGCATGGCAAGTGTCAAAGTGTTGACTCAAAATGTTGTGTCCTCATAAAATCGGAACTAAAACATTTCTTCCTAAGTTCAGGATAAATAAAAAGTCGTTAATAAACAGAAGAAGGTTGTCCCCTCACTTTATTCTACAATAAACAGCTCAATGAGACATCGCAATAGATTGGGAAGGAAAAAAAAGCTTTTCATATGAATAGATGTCTATATATACTTCATACGTAAGTGGATAGATGGATAGAAAATGTCATATCATGATTGTATTTGTTATCAAAATAAATAATAATATAGCACTGCGTTCAAATAGATATTTTTTTATATCTTGAATAAACAATCAATCACAATCAGAATCTTCTTCGTTTTTCTTCTCCGAGGCTCTTCTTCTAATGTACACATTGGTACACATGTATGTTGTTTGTGTATGTATACACAAAAGTTGATATTGAGACGAAAATAATATTAATAACCTCTGAAGAAAACGAGAAAACAATAAAAGAGCATATTAAGAGGAACCTTACTAGAGCTTTTTAGATTAAGGATGTGCATATTATGCAGCCATAACATGGTGGCGAATTGGTTTAGGACTTCGGTTCTTGGATATCATCAAAAACTTGATTTTCATGTAAAAATTAAAATAGTAATTAATTACAAATTCAATTTTGCCCGATCGGCACACATTGAAATTCATTGAAATGTTTGCCACTCGATAGCCGAGTTGATAGTATAATCAGAACCAAGAATCAGAACATTGCGATGGCATACACGTGGCATCCAGTTGGAAGTTGCTTCCAAGAGGCTGCTACTTGGTTCTAATTAGGGTTTGGGAAACCTGTTAACAGAAAACAGAAAAACAGCTGTTTTTCGACAAAAATCTGTTAACAGAAAACAGGTCTCAAAAACAGATCTGTTTTCTGTTTTTCATTTTTGCATATAATTTACAGAAAAAAAATTTCTTAATTTTTTGAAGAACTTAATATATTTTTCTAGAATTCCAAATTGAAATGTATTTACTTTTTTAATATTTTTTGGATGTTTAATAGGTTTGAAATCATTATCAAATTTATGATTAATCATTATTAATTTTGCAATCGAAGTTTTAAATTTGTTGAACTTTTTGTAGCATTTACTAAAGTTCAAAAATATAATCAACAATTTTACAAGATATTTTGATTTAGAAAGATTTGTTTGAATATTTCAAATAAAATATTAGAGTTTATGGAACTTTTAAAATGCAACAATGCAATTTTTCTTACAAGTATAAATATTTTTTTGAATTTTTATATTTCTAATGCTTATTAATCAAACCTATTAATAATTCTTAGCTCTAAAATGTATGCTTAAGTGCTTATAACCACCAAAAAATTTCATTATTTCAGAGAAATACATACTTAGGATAACTCAATTTATTTTGAATTATAGAAAAACAGGAAAACAGCTGTTTTTAAAAATCAAAAACCGAAAACAGACTGTTTTTCAAAAACAGCTGTTTTCCACAAACCCTAGTTCTAATTATACTATCAACCCAGCTGCCGGGTGGCAAACATTTTAATATGTGCCGATCAGGTTGATGTTTTAAAAAGTTTCACATAGAATCACTTTACTTCAATTCATTAAAATCATAAATTATGTAGCATCTAATTGTAGTTAATCTCTTTCTTGTCATATTTACTAAATCAAATCTACGATCGACCTATTCCCTCAGGCAGATTCATTGTTTTTTGATTATTTACAAACTTATACTATCTTCAATAATATCTATTACAAAATCATATTATAATAATAGCTTGAAGTATTTAACGTAATGTTATTATTATCCAGCGCAAACAAAGTCAGCACACTAAATAAATAATGACAAAAGTCAAATAATTGGGGCACAATGAATTATTATTTTTTATAATTACTGTCCGCTATCCAAAGAAAAATAATAATATTTCTTAATTACAGTATCAGTATAATTGAAAAAAAGGACGACAAGGGTTGAAAATGAAATAAAAAACAAGGACTTTTAAGTCAAGGAGAAAATGATTTCAACTTTAAATTGTGAAGAACTTCCCCGCACTCTCGAGTCTTTGAGGATAAAAAAAAAACTTTTTAAAAAACTACGTTTTTCGCGTAGACTAAAAAGTAGAAAATAACTTTTATTCTTGGTTGTAAAGAATTTGGTTTTAAATTTTCAGATTATATTTAATAAATTTTTATATCCTAGTCAATATTGTTCACAAAGTTTCGAATAAGTGCACTTTGATCTTATCGTATAACTCAACAACTTAAAAACGTGGGCGCATTAATTTAAGTTTATCATAAAGTATTGATTTCACATAAACTTATTTCTCCTCTTATAATGCGCCCACGTTTTTAAGTTGTTGAGTTGTACGATAATATCAAAGTGCACTTATTCGAAACTTTGTGAACAATATTGACTAGGATATAAAAATTTATTAAATATAATCTGAAAATTTAAAACCAAATTCTTTACAACCAAGAATAAAAGTTATTTTCTACTTTTTAGTCTACGCGAAAAACGTAGTTTTTTAAAAAGTTTTTTTTTATAAAGTATTTTATTTTCTACTTTTTAGTCTTATTCTAATGAAATAGAGAAATAAAGATTATAGGGGGTTTATAGGTTACAGGTGTGTTGAACTCCACTTCGTTGCACTTCGTTACGTTCAACTGTTTATAGATCACAGTAGGTTTATAGGTTACAGGTGTGTTGAACTTCACTTCGTTGCACTTCGTTACGTTCAACTGTTTATAGATCACAGTAGGTTTATAGGTTACAGGTGTGTTGAAATTCACTTCGTTGCACTTCGTTACGCTCAACTGTTTATAGATTACAGTAGGTTCATAGGTTACAGGTGTGTTGAACTCCACTTCGTTGCACTTCGTTACGTTCAACTGTTTATAGATTAGAGTAGGTTTATAGGTTACAGGTGTGTTGAACTTCACTTCGTTGCACTTCGTTACGTTCAACTGTTTATAGATCACAGTAGGTTTATAGGTTACAGGTGTGTTGAACTTCACTTCGTTGCACTTCGTTACGTTCAACTGTTTATAGATTACAGTAGGTTTATAGATTACAGGTGTGTTGAACTTCACTTCGTTGCACTTCGTTACGTTCAACTGTTTATAGATTACAGTAGGTTCATAGGTTACAGGTGTGTTGAACTCCACTTCGTTGCACTTCGTTACGTTCAACTGTTTATAGATTAGAGTAGGTTTATAGGTTACAGGTGTGTTGAACTTCACTTCGTTGCACTTCGTTACGTTCAACTGTTTATAGATCACAGTAGGTTTATAGGTTACAGGTGTGTTGAACTTCACTTCGTTGCGTTCAACTGTTTATAAATTACCAGTTTTCAATGGGAAATTAGTAACGACTTTCAAAATTTTTCATTCGTTTTATAAAATTTAATTTTTTTAAAGCATTCATTAGTAAAGTACATTAAAAATCACTCGTAAAGATTTTGTGTTTATCTGTACCATTTCTTCTTCATAACGTGTGGATTCTTAACATAAAGATGCAAATCACATATGTAACGTATTTATAACGGATTTTCAAATTTAAATTCAATGAATATCATTTATATGTTATGCAAAAATACGTCAAACCGTTAATAAAAAGAAAAGTCAATTTAATTAAGTTGGTGAAGTGTTATAAATAATGCAATACATTTAAAACAGCATAAATTTATGCTCAAACTATGTGTGCTAAATGCACATCGTATATTAATAGTTATTTTGCATTAATTCGTAACGGACTTGTGCTTAACGGTTTTTTTGAAAATTCAAATTTTAACTTACGAATATTCATGAAAAAATTACATGTCAATTTTTTTGTCTTACCAGAATATCTTTAGCTGCTCAAATTTATGGTATAATTAATAATTAGTAATATTAATTAAACTATAATGAATCATATAAATGACTTTAGAGCATCACAAGTATAATATTTAATACAAATCAAAATTTTTTATCATTGACATTGGATTTTTTCCCATATAAAAAAGTTTTACATAAATTGTACTATAATTAAGCATTTTTGTGTTTCCAAAGTGTTAAAATATTGTATTGTCACCGGGAATACATGTGCATTAAAAATTTGAGCTCGATTGGAGCAGTAGAAGTGGTCGAAAAATTGATAGCAAGATTTGAAATTTTTTGCAAACAAACAAACAAACAAACAAACAAACAAACAAACAAACAAACAAACAAGAAAGCAAGTTAAGAAAAACGTAGTAAAAATGCTTAAAATTAAACTGAGGGTTAAAACCATCGTCATCAATCAATATGGATGTTAAGTTAAGATTAGCAGAAAAATGGGTTTGAGGAAGAAGAAAAAAAAACTTGGTATGAGTAATTTCCTATTGAAATAAGTGGAAAATTGGTATCAATGAAATCTACTAGCATTAACCAACTCTCATTCTCGCCCACAAAAAAAACTGCCCGAGTTTATTAAAAAAGGAAATGAAATCTTTCGGTATAGTGACTTTTTTTTCTGTTAAGCCTTACATTTTCGGGTTTTTGTATTAATTTGAAAAAGGACAAAAAAGATGGAGAGAAAAAAATATATTTCTCGAATTTTTCCTCTTTCCAATACGGATACAGAACGATAATAAAAATGAGATCGAAAATCTAATTGATGAAAACAGTTTAAATAGCCGGAAGCAATTTATTTCCGCATCCTTTCTACCTACATTGTCATTCTTTTGATATAAAATATCATATCATGTCATTCTGACCTTAGTTATTTTTTTTGTATGTTAACGCTTATATCCGGTTGTTGTTAAATAAGGAATTTTTGATCAAAAAATGTAAGCGAGTGGAAACGCGATTTAAACATCAATCGACTAATTTTGAATATCTCTACGCTGTTCACTAAATTATTATTATATTCAACTTTGTAATAATCAACTAAATCAGTTGTTCTCCAAGTATGTTCATCAAGGATTTTCTAGATTTGTCAGAACAAGGTTTAAAAACAGTGAGCTAAAGCCACAATTATTTTCAAGTCAAAAAATTATTTCACATCGAGTTGAGAACTCCGAGAAAATGAAGTAGACTCGAGAAAAGTTGAGTCGACTTGTTTTGAGTTGAGTCGAGTCAACTCGAGTCGACTCGAACCCTATCGACTTCGAGCTCTACATGAAAGTGTCAAAAAAAACTTTAAAGCAAGGATTATTCACGAAACATGATATACCTTCCGCTTTCCATTAGCCATTCACATTTATTTTTTCACAACCACATCATAATCGTTGTGAACATTTATCGATTCACCACATTCAAAAATATTTTTTTTTTATTTCCTCTTCTCCAACATTTTCCTGTACTTACCATTCATTTCACTGTATGACCTAGAAAATGAAAATATTTTTCAATGTGATGTCATGTTTTGGTCTTTTTATGATCATCATGTTTGGCATAAAAGGTTTATTTTTTCATATTTTCATATATTTTTTATGATGGAAAAAATTCTTACAAATGAATAAATGGAACTAGTAACATTGTTGCTTAATGAGGGTTACACAAGCGCATTGGTAATCTTCTTATAGAACTAGCTGCAAATAAAGCTACAAAATCAGGACGATCTTTGATCCATTAAACTTAAGACAAATTGATCAACCTTAAGACAAATTGATAAGAAACTTATTAAAATCAAATAAGTTAAAAATGGAAGCACGATTCACAATTATTCGTATATTTGGATTTAATCGGTTTCGTGTCTGACTGTTTTGTAACTGAATCCATAAAATAATTTGTTCAGACAATTTAAACACATAATATTATTGTTCAATGTTCATCAACAATTTGCCTTCCATTCCACGCAACCGACGATGAAAAATATTGAATGTACAGAAGTTGTAATTGTGGCTTGCATTTTTTTGTGGTAGTACTGTGTGATATTTGGGTATGGAAGTTTTTTTTTGCAGTTGTGGATTTTTGTTTATTAAGAATTGTGTAAATAATGTTAGAAGAACTATTGTTCTACAGAAAAATATTCATTGCTTCTTTTATTTTTCATTTTGGATTGATGATTTTTACAGGAAGGTCAATAGACAATTAAATAATTATTAGACAGCAGTTAAGTGCCTTGCTGGTCGAATAGGTAAGGCGCTTGGCTCAAATTTGGGATGGCAACTCGAAGGTCGTCGGTTTGAATCCAGCCATTTCCAAATTTGTTCTTTTTCGGAAGTTTAGATACTTCGACTGCTTAATGTACGAGATCAAGCCATAATTGGGCATTTGGGCAACGTTGGATTAAGGAACAGGTCAGGAACCTGAAGTGTAGCGGGAGAAATAGGAACGAGAGCTACAAGATTACCCACGAATGGAATATTGTTCGAACGGACCTGAAAAGTATCACGTCACGCCTACAGAAGATCAAAACGAGAGCCTTAGTTTATTTGAAACCTAGATTTGAAGATTAGAAGTTTGATCCTACATAATATTAATTCATATGTATACAAATACAAAAGTGTAAAATTTGAATTATTACCGGACAGTATGTCGTCAATAAATGCAATAAAGTGCAATTAAAATGTCAAAAAATATGGTTTCATACTTGTCATTTATCAACGAATTATTTTAAATAAATGACATAATCATTTTTATATATTTTTTTTTTTTATCAATGTCATTAAACTAGGAACATTGATGCACAACTATTAGAAATATTGGAATTCAAAGGATTTTTGGATCGTAATAATGATACATATGTAGCTTTTAGAAGTTAGGGGCCGTTCACTTATTAGGTTCGCATTTTAGGGGGGAGGGGGGTTTGAAAAATTGTAACAAAATGTAACATAGGGGGGGGGGGTGTCAAGAAGTATGTAACCTTTAAACTGTCGTCTGTCTTTTTTACGAAAAAAATTTGTTTACAAATTCACACCAAAAACATTTTTTTAAATTTTCCACCTTTTTAATGATTTATGAAAAATTATCAAAATAAAATAAATTATGAACAATCAGGGGGGGAGGGGGTTGTGAGTTGTAACATATTGTAACAAGGGGGGAGGAGGGGGGGGGGGGGTGAAAAAAGCTTTTTTTCGTAACGTAATAAGTGAACGGCCTCTAATAGAGGTAATTATGAAAATTTTCTATCATAAGAGCGAACAGAATTAAAATTCAATTTGTTGAAAACCATCATTTGTGAATGAGCCCTTATAAATCTAAAATATGAAATAAAAAGTACAGTAAATATTGAATTCATTAGAAACAAAAAAAAAATCTTGTAAGTTTACGTACATGGATCTTTATATTTTTGTTACTATAACTCTACCATATTTGTTAACTCTTTATTCCTACTCATCTTTCCTTCTATATTTTTCTTTCAAAAATAAAAATTTTTAATATTACTTCCAAAAGCTTCCGCAATGAATGAAAAAGTTTTTCTCGAGAATTGTGAGAAAAAAAAGTAGCGAAAGAATAAAAACAAAATTGAAGCAGACCTCTGAGAATATTTGTATGGAAGCTTATAAGGACGAGCATTTTATAAAAAAGGAGAACAAGAAAAAAAAAATAAATTTCAGCAGAAATTTTTTATTTGACTCTACGCAACATCCGTGCATACTTTTTATATGGAAACAATTGCTTGAAGAAGAAAATTCTTTATAAGAATATTCTCTCGCTGTGAACATAGCATTGACTTTGCCTGATCATCATCGCATAAGTAATATAGCAAAAAATGAATTTCAGCAATTTTCAATATTTTTTTCTACATTTTCCTTTTTTGCCATCGTAAGAATTTTTTTTTCTCTTTTAAAAAATAAGCAATAACAACAAACGACAACGAGAAAATGAGAAAAGGAAATGAGCAAAGCACCTGTAATAAAAATAATAAAGGAACTCTTTTATGAGACTTACCACAGAGCAATTATTTTAATAACATTTTATTATTTTTTAAAAAATAAAATTATTTTCATTTCACGTTAAAAGTTGTTTCTGATTGTTTTTCAAGGTCATCATGTCGTGTTGGATATGATTCATAAACAAGATTGTATGATTTTGTTAAAAAATGTTCTTAAGTGACGCAAATAGCAAAATCTCTAGCACGGATTCTACAAACGCTCTGACTCAATTCTTAAATGAACAGCATGCACATAGGCGGCTGGAGCTTTTGTCATTTCCTTTGCTCGTTCATTTGTTTATAAATGACTTTAGGATCAAATAAATAATCAACAACTTCTTTCCATGTTTTATAGTGCTCGTTAATG